CTCATTTGAGACTATTGTGACTATAACACCTCTGTTGTCTGTCGCGGCTCTTGTTGCCACTGTCATTGACTTTTCCGCCACCACCCGCCTTGACTACACCACCCGCTTGGTGGCTGCTCCTCCTACCCGTCTTCTGTCCGCCCGGGGTGAGTTTGCCCTTGGCTGTGACGTCCTAGAGGACATGAAATTTGAGCTGGAGTTCCTGGCAGCCGCTCCAGACATCCCAACTCCTCGTACTAACAGTGAGACAGTGTCGGGTCACTGGGTCTTTCAGCGGATAGTACTCATGATGCAGAGATAACGCCTTGCAGATCCACAGGCACGTACGTTGACGCAGTTCCCTCTCCCCGAACGAATGTGGTCGATAGCATATGGATCGTCAAGGTGAAGCGGGACCCTGGTTCACCGCCTTTCTTCAAGGCACACTACGTGGCTAGAGGTTTCAGTGACACGTCCCAGCACAACGAGACTACGAGCTGCACTGACTAGACGTTTCCACTGCATTTCTTCAGGGCAGCCTGCACGTGGAGATCTAACTACGCCGTCCTCCTGGCTTCACTCGTACTTTCCCGCCTGGGACCAAGTGGATCCTGAGACGACTGGTCTACGGACTGCACCAGTCACCTCGTGAGTGGCACGACACCCTGCACCAATCTTAATGACCTCGAATTCCGTCCTTCGTCTGCCGACCCATCACTGTTCCTGTGTTTTGGCTCCACTCTTTCTTCGTCCTCATCTTTGTCGACGACCTGGTCTTCGCTACCGCCGACAGAGCTGCACTTGCTTCAGTGAAGTCCAAACTACAGAAGAGACACACGTGCACTGACCTTGGTGAACTGCGCATCTACCTTGGATTGCAGATCACCAAGGACAGATCCTCTCGCACCATCACTGTGACTCAGTCACACATGGTGCAGCAGGTCCTTCAAATGTTTGTACTTCAGTTTTCCACCACACAGCCCACTCTTCTTGATGTTAACGTGCACTCGTCCGGACCTCGCTTATCCGCTCAGCGTCCTGGCTTGCTTTGTTGCGATTAGGAGACACCGTCTTCTTCATTGGATGGCTGCTAAGAGGGTAAAAGCATGGCAACCGCATTAGGCATGGGGCTTGTGATTGGAGGGACTAAGCCAGTGCGGCTTATCAGGCACTGCGACTCGTACTGGGCGGACGGCAAGGAAACCAGCAGATCGACTCAGGGGAACCGTTTCAGCTTGGGCTCTAGAGTTGTGTCGTGGAGGTCTACTCGGTCTTCGTCTGTAGAGTAGTCTAGTGCCGAGGCCAAGATGTAGCTGGTGCCACGGCTGCTTAGGAGCTCCGCTGGCTGACTTTCTTGCTCACTGACCTAGGTGAGCGGCCTAGCTCTGAACCGACCTTGTTCGCTGACAACAAGGCCATGATCCTCCTGAGTAGGGAGGCTCGAATAAAAAGCATATCGAAGCACATTGATATGCGGTACTTCCTGCTGCGAGACCTGCAGCGACGCGGCCATGCATGTTTTGTCTTTGTGGCCTCAGCGGCCAACACTGCAGACATCTTCACCAAGGCCCTCCCGCTTGCTGGCCACCACAGGTTCTGTTCACAGCTTGGCCTTGTTCAGAACAGCCCTCGTTTGTTGTACTCTTGCCTCTGCTTGTTTTGTTGTCTATATATATGTATATGTCAGATTTATATGACATAGCTACTGTAGGCTATAGTGGGGTAGCACATATGGGGTACAATTTTCTAGGGTTTGCTTTTGTACCCAACTTTCACTTAGTCATTTCATTCCTCGTTTCTTCTCATGGTATCGAGCAGGTTCCCTAGTGGGAACGATTCCTAGGGCCCACCACCACGAAATTTTTTTTTTTCCTGCCCGGAGCGCGTTTTGCGCCGGCCCGAGTCGCGCCCGTCGCGCCCGTCGCGCCCGTCGCGCCCGTTGCGCCCGTCGCGCCCGTCGTGCCCGTCGCGCCCATCGCCACCTACCTCCGCGGCCCCGCCACCTACCTTCGCGGCCCCGCCACCTCACTGTGCGGCCCCGCCACCTACCTCCGCGGCCCCGCCACCTACCTCCGCGGCCCCGCCACCTACCTGTGCGGCCCCGCCACCTACCTGTGTGGCCCCGCCATCTACCTTCGCGGCCCCGCCACCTCACTGTGCGGCCCCGCCACCTACCTCCGCGGCCCCGCCACCTACCTGTGCGGCCCCGCCATCTACCTTCGCGGCCCCGCCACCTCACTGTGCGGCCCCGCCACCTACCTCCGCGGCCCCGCCACCTACCTGTGCGGCCCCGCCACCTACCTTCGCGGCCCCGCCGCCTTACTGTGCGGCCCCGCCACCTACCTCCGCGGCCCCGCCACTTACCTTTGCGGCCCCGCCGCCTCCTCCCAGCGGCCCCGGACGCCGCCCTCTCAGCGGCCCCGCCGAGCCGCCCAGCAGCCGAATCGCCCAGCAGCCGAGCCGCCCAGCAGCCGAGCCGCCCAGCAGCCGAGCCGCCGAGCCGCCCAGCCGCCGAGCCGCCCTGTCCGCAGCCGAGCCGCCCAGCAGCCGAGCCGCCCCGCCGCCGAGCCGCCCAGCCGCCGAGTCGCCGAGCTGCCGAGCCGCCCTGCAGCCGAGCCGCCCGAACCGCCCTGTCCGGTAAGAGCAGCGCCTCTCTCACAGCACTGCCCTCGCCCTAGTGTTTGCACTGCTAGTCTACTGCTGTCATGGCTACCCCTAGTGTCCTCGCTTTTGACGCTGAGGGTCGGGCCATTGACTTTGACGTCTGGATAGATGACCTGCAGCTTTTCTTACAGTGCGACAGAGCAGACGGCCTCTCCCTCTTTGACCTCACTTCTGGTGCCTCTCCTGCCCCCGCTGCTGATGCTGACGCCACCGTTCGCTCACAGTGGGCCACGCGCGATGCTGCTGCACGTCTTGCTGTGCGTCGCCACCTCCCTACCTCTGAGCGTGCGCACTTTAGCCAGTACAAGAGTGCTCAGACCTTGTACGACGCTGTAGTTGCACGCTACTCCTCCCCTGCCACTGCTGCACTGAGCCGCCTCATGCTACCGTACCTCTTCCCTGACCTTGCTGCCTTTCCCACAGTCGCTGACCTCATTACGCACCTCCGCTCTAGTGACACTCGCTACCGCGCTGCGCTTCCTGCTGAGTTCTGCGCCAAGAACCCCCCCCCCATGTACATCACCCTCTACTACATAGTCACCCGTCTCCCTGACTCCCTTCGCGTAGTCAGGGACCACTTCCTCTCGGTTTGTCCCACCACTCTCACCGTTGACCTCCTCGAGAAGGCCCTCCTAGCAGCAGAAAAGAGCATAGTTGCTGTAGGAGCCTCTCGTGGTGACCCTCGCACCCCCATCTTTGAGGGGTGTTCCCCCTCCCCTCTTTTGCCCTCTGTTGCCTCTGCTGCTGCGGCCGACCTCGCTGGTTTGGAGTCGGTTGGGGCAGCGTCTACCCCTAGCGTGAGACGCCGCCCTGGCAGGGGCAAGGGGGGCAGGGGCGCTGGAGGAGCTTGCGGGGGCGGTGGAGGCGGCGGTGGAGGTGGTGGAGGAGGTGGGGGTGGCGGTGGGAGTGGTGGCGGGGGTGGAGGTGTAGGTGGCGGCAGTGGAGGCGCAGGAGGCAGCGGCGGTGGCGGAGGGAGCGGAGGTGGCGGCGGTGGAGGAGGAGGCGGCGGAGGAGGTGGAGCTGGTCGGGGTGGCGCTGCGCAGAGGGTCAGCTCCGGTGGTGGTCAGCGCCAAGATAGAAGGGAGAGACGAGCAGCACCCTGATGATCAGATGGGTTTTTGAGAAGATGGAGTTGAAGCCGGCAAACTTCATCACTGAGAAAGGAAACAGTCTTCCTTACCCGAGTGTTTTCCTCCTTACTATACCATTTGAGTTGCCGGCAGAGCTGGGCCTTCCATTGGTCCCACTTACTGATGGGAAAACCGGCTTGTAACTCAAGAGTCGAACGTTCAAGCGTAGATCGAACGACGGCCTTGGGAATAAGGTGTTGCGGAAACCGCCAAGGCCTGGGTGCCATGTTGGGGTTGCGAAAGCGTACTGTCACAAGAGGGCCACGGTTGTGATTAGACAGAGGGGGAGGAACCGACACGTACGAGGCATGCTGGATACGGTCGGCCCAGTGATCCGATATGTAAGTTCTATCCAGGCGGGAAGAGGAGGGGGCAGAGTTAGGTGAGGAAGGTGTTCGCAAGGATGTGAAGGAAATCATGAGTTCATCAGGCAGCTTGTGCCGATAACAGTCAATGAGTGACTGATCTTTGAGCAAGTCCCCTAATAATGCTGCTTCTGTGCGTTCCACTGGTTGCAGGTCACGATTCCTGTCCAACGGCGATACAACGGCATTGAAGTCACCAGTGAGGATGGTAGCGGAGCTGGCGGAAGGTTGCTCCAAGAAGTGGGCAACCGTGGTGGCCCACCAGATACGTCTGTCCAAGTATTGGTTAGGAGCGTAAACGGCAAGCAGGCGGAACTGTTCATGCATAAAGTTGCAATGAAGATAAAGACAACGGCCATCTCCAGAAGAAGCTCTGCTAGAGTTAGAAACACTAGGATGAAACACCAGTACAGCAATGCCTCCAGGTTTAGCATGTAAGGAGGAAGAGAGACGAGGGGGGACTTGAGCATATGCCTTTGGTTTCAGCTTAAAAAGCAGATGGGAGAAGCTGGTGGTTAGGCGGGTGTCGGTAAGAATGAGCACATCAACTGGTTTCCTTGTGAACCAGGAGCGAAGCACATCTAACTTCAGAGGCGAATTGAGGCCATTAACGTTAATACATTGTAGCTTGAGGTGTATATCCATTATTTACCATTCATTGAAGCCCCATGCACTCCGAGGAGCACACATCCACAGGGGCAGGCGAAGGTTAGACCTGCAGAAAGAGCAGGAGAGGAGAGAGTAGAGAAACGTGTGACAAAAAGCTTCCAACCGAAGTGATTATTGCCCATCTGTGGAACCAACAGAACGGTATTATAGAGGTACAAGCACAGCACACAGCAAGACCCCCAACACTGTCCTCCTATCCCTGAGCGAGGAAGGTGGCAATCGTGCCATTCTGGTTGAAAACATGGACCTTCACGTCCCCAAACTCCTCCAGGGGCATGATGTTGCCAGAGATCTGCTGAATAGCAGTCAATTGAGAGGGGCTGGCGATGTGCTCCATAGCACTGTCCAGTGCCCAGCCGCAGCAGAAGGAGCAAAGTGCGCAAGTCCAGACTTCGACTTCGAGATCGGTCCCAATGAAGAACGTGCCGGGGTCGGCCTTGAAAGAAGCCACAGCAGGATGCTGACCGATAATCCTGGCTGTAGAGCATAAGGGGAATGAAGAGGGGGGAAACGGAAAACGAGGACCAGAGAAACGGCCAGAGAAGCCAGCATCGCAACCAAGACAGAACTCTAAGCCAGCAGGAGCAAAAAAGAGTACACCGAGCACAATGGTTACAAGAAAGGGACAGCGGAAAGACAAACTTTGGAGGAACGAACAAGCAGAGCAGGGTGATAAAGACCAGAGGGTAGGTACCGTTCACATTCTGAAGCTGCCCCACGGTTATGAGGAAGGGATTGGTGATGCGATTCCTCCTCACGGCCGCAAAGCTGCTATGGTCGCGAGTGCGATGATTGCTGGTACACACCGAACAGGAGTGCGAAGACAGGTTAACCAAGATGGGCTCCTGCATCTCTGGAACCCAAATGACAGCAGGGATAGCCTCGAAAAGAGGATCGTTAGGGGAGGCCACCGCAATGCCAAGCATCTGGGGGAGGAAGGACTCTTCGTAAGGATCGAAGAGCTTATGAAAATGCAGCAGGTCCCCAAGCCATCTGACGCCGTTCGAGGAGCTGGACATCAGAAGAGAGCGCAGAGTCCGGACCGCGAGGCCCACGGGCATGTTCCGCAGCACCAGCACGGTTTCACCACGAGCTTTGGCCGCCGAGAAGTCGGGAGCAGGGTCCTGAAAGACCTTGACGTCGGCTGTTGGTCCTTCGGACGAACAGTAGGTGATCGGCAGCATGCGCTTAAAGCGGTTCGTATCGTCCACAGTCGGCCACTGCAGAACATGGCGGCAGTACGATTTGCGGGGGAGGCGAAGGAGCTTGCCAGCCGAGGCTTTGAACACAGGAACGCGACCACCGGCAAAGTCGCGGCCACGGAGAATACTGCGGACACGGGTAATGATCCTGCTGCGGTGTGCTTCAAGAGCTTCAGGGAACAAGAGCACAACGACGGCATCAGTATCACGCACCAAAGCCGCCACAACGACTCCCACAGAGTCACGGTTACGACGAAGACGAAGATAACGACCGGTAATAGCGAGGGCGACAACAGGATTAGCCTCCTGGGTAGACGCCGAAGGAGCAGGCGCTGCCGCGGAAGGTCCAGCCACGGGAGCTGTTACCGGTGTGACAGGCGGCACCACCGAGGCCGCGGGGGGAGCCACAGGCGCGGAACTGGAGGAACCAACAGCACAGACGCGCTTAGCAGGGGGAGGAGCAGAGACAGCAGGCGTGACCGCCTCCTCGGCGAAGAAGGAGTCAACCGAGAAGGAGGCATCAAGCTCCTCCTCTCCCATAAGTTCGTCGGGGTTGTGCTGGGAACCCATAGCGCCAGGTGGTAAGGACGAACTATCATGGTACGTCGATTTGTAGTAAGGAACCGCGATTCGGCGAGGAAAAGGTGAGAGAGTAGGAACGACGAGTCGTGGCCAAATGGGGACATAAAATGTTTCAATTCCATGCTTTGGCAATGGCCTCGGCTCACGGTAACCAGCAAGGATCCAGCGCGGAAAAATGGAGTCGCGAAGCGTGCATGGAAGAAGCCCGTGTGAGAGCGCGCCGTCACAGCGCACCGTGCCGCCATAACAAGCGTGCATGGCGTAGAGCAGACGTGGAGTGAGTAGGACTCTCCAAGCATGGTTTTCCAGGGGACGTAAACCCTCCAGATAGGCCAAGCCACGAGGAGCAGGGAGTCAGCGAATGTCCCAAGGAGCGGCGGCAGAGGAACCGTGAACCAGAAGCCACGGCAGAAGAGCAGGCTGTGGAAACCACCAAGGATTAAATCGAGCGTGAGCCACCCATGGTCAATCAGCAAAAACCAACAAAACCGAGAAGAAGTCAGCCAAACCACCTGAAGCAGAGAGTACCTAACCTGCAAGAACCACACCAGCACCGGAGCAAGAAACGAACAGAAAAGACGCACAACAACACAACGATCGAAACAGCATGACTCACCTACCACAGCCAAAACCTGGAAAAACACAAGCCAAGGGACGATGGTCCTGGCATGCAGGCTGACGCGGCAACATAGCAGAGGGTGAGGACGCTGAACTTCCGAGGTTGAGGGAGGCGGAGAGAAGTTCGACGGGTAAGTAGCTTTTGCGGGGGTACTACTAGCGATCCTGCGCTTTCTAGGGAACTACAGTGCTAGTTGCGGGCACTTTCCGCCCCTCCGCCACTCCGACAGGAAAGTTATGGCAACAACACAGAACTCGGTCCCACATTCACCCACGTGTCACAAATTCGGAAAGTTAGAAAACGCACGCAGAAAAAAATAAAACCCATAGGGAACCTGGACTCATTTTCGGGAAGGAACAACCCTAAACACGGGAACCCACATTTTTTTTAGGGTTGATGCCTCCCCGAGACGCATCCCTTCCCGATTGGGTTTTAGTTTTTTTCGGTCAGGTAAAGGGATATTTTCTCCAATGGCTTGCGAAATTCTGACACGTGGGTAAAGGGATATTTTCTCCAGTGGCTTGAGTTCTGTGCTGTTGCCATAAGGGCGTGTAACTTTTTCGCTCTTCATCGTCCGGACGGAGGCCCCGTCCGGACTTTTGTAGGGTTACGAAATTCGCCATTAATCGTTAGCGTATTCGCAAGACCCCTTGCGACGTCGCCATCGTCCGTACGATGACTGACACTTTTTTGTCAAAGCATCGTCCGTTCTACGCCGCTGAAACCGTCCGGACAACATTTCGGACCGTCCGGAACTCCTGCAACGTCATTGGCGCGCGAAGCAGGGTTTTCATAAATTTTGGCGACTCTATTTCCAAGCCGCCGAAGCTTGGTCGCGAAGAGGCCGATGTTCTGGCGAGGCAGGTTATGTGCGTTACTTTCTCGCACATTTCGAAACTGCAAAAAAGTGTCACAACTGTGGTACGGACGCCCTATCGTCCGAACCACATCCCCTACCGTCCGGACAGAGCTCCGTTCGTACGATTTGGGGGCTCCGTCCGGACAATTGACAGAAACGGAAAAAGTTACACGCCCTAATGTTCCTGTCGGAGTGGCGGAGTGGCGGAAAGTGCCCGCATATAGCACTGTAGTCCCCTTGAAAGTGCAGGGTCGCTAGTAGTACCCCTGCCAAAGCTACTTACCCAAGTTCGACATGGTCGGAGCTACGATTGCTGGGCAATGATGACTCTTGGATGCATACAGACTCTGTAGCACTGCAGTCACACACCCGTGACAATTTCTTCGTCGTTTGGTCTGGAGGATGGAGGTGAGAGAGAGACCGATTGTCAGCGCATGAAACCTGACTTGTAACGAACGAGTGTCGCGAGCGAGCTTGCTTCGCACAATATTCACTGACCGCAACGCCGTAGCGAAACGAATCAGCCAGATTGGTTCGTTAACCAGACTTCGCTGACGTAAGTTTGCGTGAGCGAGGGGACTGGCGAAAGGTTGCGCCCCTCCCATCCACGCAGTCAACAAGCGGTGTGTCACCAAACTTCGCAAAATGTCGCGCGTTCGTTCATTCAGCAATCTGGACTAGAAGACAGTGATAGACATTCAAACCATTTTAGGGCGGACTTCTAGTTTACGACAGTCCTCGACAGTCTATCTCACCCTGTCATCTAGTAGATGGTTTAGCGACATTCTGAAAACTCCGCGTCAACGACGAGGCGTGCGACATAGGGGCTGTGCTAAAGACCCTCGAACCTGAGTGCGACGAGACGACCCTTTCAACCGCGCCTGTGCGATCCATCCCATCCCAAGAGATTGGCCCGCCAAATTCAACGGGCCGTTGTGCAACGGACACGAATCCAGGAATTCAGGCACGATTTATGTAGGTTCGAAACGCAAGTCGCAAGCGCACGCTTCTGTTTTCAACGATATTATGTAGGCTCGGCGAGAGAGCTACCAGCTTAGCTTCAGTGGCCAAGAGGAGTTAAAGCCCAAGTCTAGAGGTTGCAAACTTGTCCTCAGATTAGGTTAGCTTAGCTAGCTTAGTTTTAGGTTAGGAATAAATAAAAGACGAGGGGAAGGAAGGGATACAAGGTCAGCGAAGCGGAAAGGGAGCAAGGGAGGAGGGGGGGGGGGGGGGGGGGGGGGGGGGGGGGGGTGGAGTCGAAGGTGCGAAGTAGAGAGTGTAGGGGATCAGGGGACGGTGATCGGGGGGGTATCGGGGACGGTGCATCAGGGGACGGTCGAAGTAAGAGGGAGGTTCACAGGGGCGGCATCAGGGTAGCGGGATCGGGGACGGTGCACAGGGGACGGGCATCGGGAGACGGCGCACGGGGACGGCGCATCGGGGACGGCGCATCGGGAGACGGCGCATCGGAGACGGGCATCGGGAGACGGCGCATCGCATCGGGAGACGGCGCATCGGGAGACGGCGCATCGGGAGACGGCGCATCGGGAGACGGCGCATCGGGAGACGGCGCATCGGGAGACGGCGCATCGGGAGACGGCGCATCGGGAGACGGCGCATCGGGAGACGGCGCATCGGGAGACGGCGCATCGGGAGACGGCGCATCGGGAGACGGCGCATCGGGAGACGGCGCATCGGGAGACGGCGCATCGGGAGACGGCGCATCGGGAGACGGCGCATCGGGAGACGGCGCATCGGGAGACGGCGCATCGGGAGACGGCGCATCGGGAGACGGCGCATCGGGAGACGGCGCATCGGGAGACGGCGCATCGGGAGACGGCGCATCGGGAGACGGCGCATCGGGAGACGGCGCATCGGGAGACGGCGCATCGGGAGACGGCGCATCGGGAGACGGCGCATCGGGAGACGGCGCATCGGGAGACGGCGCATCGGGAGACGGCGCATCGGGAGACGGCGCATCGGGAGACGGCGCATCGGGAGACGGCGCATCGGGAGACGGCGCATCGGGAGACGGCGCATCGGGAGACGGCGCATCGGGAGACGGCGCATCGGGAGACGGCGCATCGGGAGACGGCGCATCGGGAGACGGCGCATCGGGAGACGGCGCATCGGGAGACGGCGCATCGGGAGACGGCGCATCGGGAGACGGCGCATCGGGAGACGGCGCATCGGGAGACGGCGCATCGGGAGACGGCGCATCGGGAGACGGCGCATCGGGAGACGGCGCATCGGGAGACGGCGCATCGGGAGACGGCGCATCGGGAGACGGCGCATCGGGAGACGGCGCATCGGGAGACGGCGCATCGGGAGACGGCGCATCCGGGAGACGGCGCATCGGGAGACGGCGCATCGGGAGACGGCGCATCGGGAGACGGCGCATCGGGAGACGGCGCATCGGGAGACGGCGCATCGGGAGACGGCGCATCGGGAGACGGCGCATCGGGAGACGGCGCATCGGGAGACGGCGCATCGGGAGACGGCGCATCGGGAGACGGCGCATCGGGAGACGGCGCATCGGGAGACGGCGCATCGGGAGACGGCGCATCGGGAGACGGCGCATCGGGAGACGGCGCATCGGGAGACGGCGCATCGGGAGACGGCGCATCGGGAGACGGCGCATCGGGAGACGGCGCATCGGGAGACGGCGCATCGGGAGACGGCGCATCGGGAGACGGCGCATCGGGAGACGGCGCATCGGGAGACGGCGCATCGGGAGACGGCGCATCGGGAGACGGCGCATCGGGAGACGGCGCATCGGGAGACGGCGCATCGGGAGACGGCGCATCGGGAGACGGCGCATCGGGAGACGGCGCATCGGGAGACGGCGCATCGGGAGACGGCGCATCGGGAGACGGCGCATCGGGAGACGGCGCATCGGGAGACGGCGCATCGGGAGACGGCGCATCGGGAGACGGCGCATCGGGAGACGGCGCATCGGGAGACGGCGCATCGGGAGACGGCGCATCGGGAGACGGCGCATCGGGAGACGGCGCATCGGGAGACGGCGCATCGGGAGACGGCGCATCGGGAGACGGCGCATCGGGAGACGGCGCATCGGGAGACGGCGCATCGGGAGACGGCGCATCGGGAGACGGCGCATCGGGAGACGGCGCATCGGGAGACGGCGCATCGGGAGACGGCGCATCGGGAGACGGCGCATCGGGAGACGGCGCATCGGGAGACGGCGCATCGGGAGACGGCGCATCGGGAGACGGCGCATCGGGAGACGGCGCATCGGGAGACGGCGCATCGGGAGACGGCGCATCCGGAGACGGCGCATCCGGAGACGGCGCATCCGGAGTCGGCGCATCGGGAGACGGCGCATCCGGAGACGGCGCATCAGGAGACAGCGCATCGGGAGACGGCGCATCGGGAGACGGCGCATCAGGAGACGGCGCATCAGGAGACGGCGCATCAGGAGACGGCGCATCAGGAGTCGGCGCATCAGGAGACGGCGCATCAGGAGACGGCGCATCAGGAGACGGCGCATCGGGAGACGGCGCATCAGGAGACGGCGCATCGGGAGACGGCGCATCAGGAGACGGCGCATCAGGAGACGGCGCATCAGGAGACGGCGCATCGGGAGACGGCGCATCAGGAGACGGCGCATCGGGAGACGGCGCATCAGGAGACGGCGCATCGGGAGACGGCGCATCAGGAGACGGCGCATCAGGAGACGGCGCATCAGGAGACGGCGCATCAGGAGACGGCGCATCAGGAGACGGGAGACGGCGCATCAGGAGACGGCGCATCGGGAGACGGCGCATCGGGAGACGGCGCATCGGGAGACGGCGCATCGGGAGACGGCGCATCGGGAGACGGCGCATCGGGAGACGGCGCATCGGGAGACGGCGCATCGGGAGACGGCGCATCGGGAGACGGCGCATCGGGAGACGGCGCATCGGGAGACGGCGCATGAGGGGGCATGGAGACGGCGCTACGCTGTGGCAAGAGGTGAGCGTGATGACTCTCGCCTAATGGAGGATTCAAAATTCACTCCGTGGCTGTGCTACGCTGTGGCAAGAGGTGAGCGTGATGACTCTCGCCTAATGGAGGATTCAAAAGTCACTCCGTGGCTGTGCTACGCTGTGGCAAGAGGTGAGCGTGATGACTCTCGCCTAATGGAGGATTCAAAAGTCACTCCGTGGCTGTGCTACGCTGTGGCAAGAGGTGAGCGTGATGACTCTCGCCTAATGGAGGATTCAAAAGTCACTCCGTGGCTGTGCTACGCTGTGGCAAGAGGTGAGCGTGATGACTCTCGCCTAATGGAGGATTCAAAAGTCACTCCGTGGCTGTGCTACGCTGTGGCAAGAGGTGAGCGTGATGACTCTCGCCTAATGGAGGATTCAAAAGTCACTCCGTGGCTGTGCTACGCTGTGGCAAGAGGTGAGCGTGATGACTCTCGCCTAATGGAGGATTCAAAAGTCACTCCGTGGCTGTGCTACGCTGTGGCAAGAGGTGAGCGTGATGACTCTCGCCTAATGGAGGATTCAAAAGTCACTCCGTGGCTGTGCTACGCTGTGGCAAGAGGTGAGCGTGATGACTCTCGCCTAATGGAGGATTCAAAAGTCACTCCGTGGCTGTGCTACGCTGTGGCAAGAGGTGAGCGTGATGACTCTCGCCTAATGGAGGATTCAAAAGTCACTCCGTGGCTGTGCTACGCTGTGGCAAGAGGTGAGCGTGATGACTCTCGCCTAATGGAGGATTCAAAAGTCACTCCGTGGCTGTGCTACGCTGTGGCAAGAGGTGAGCGTGATGACTCTCGCCTAATGGAGGATTCAAAAGTCACTCCGTGGCTGTGCTACGCTGTGGCAAGAGGTGAGCGTGATGACTCTCGCCTAATGGAGGATTCAAAAGTCACTCCGTGGCTGTGCTACGCTGTGGCAAGAGGTGAGCGTGATGACTCTCGCCTAATGGAGGATTCAAAAGTCACTCCGTGGCTGTGCTACGCTGTGGCAAGAGGTGAGCGTGATGACTCTCGAGTCGCCTCAAAAGTCACCTCGTGGCTGTGCTGCTCTGTGGCAAGAGGTGAGCGGGGAGTGGAAGCCTGAGGTGACATCGCAGCACAGCCGGGGAGGGTAGGGCTGAGAGGGAGGAGAGAGTGAGGTCTAGGAAGAGGGTGCCTAGCAGCAAGAGGAGTCCAGTACGGGAGGAAGAGGAGCGCGGTTAGAGGAGTGAGTTGCAGAAAGAGTCTGTGTTTTGAGTCGACTCAAAACACGACTCATTACACTAGGGAGATGGTGCCTAGGGGCAAGAAGAGTCCAGTACGGGAGGAAGAGGGGCGCGGTTAGAGGAGTCGACTCAAAAGTCTGCAGAAAGCAAGCCTTGGTTGTGCGCACGCAGTGACTTTTGAGTCGACTCAAAAGTCTCCCAGCAAGCCTAGGTTGTGCGCACGCTATAGCAGCAGGAGGCCTGGGCGGCAGCAGTAGGAGGCCTGGGCGGCAGCAGTAGGAGGCCTGGGCGGCAGCAGTAGGAGGCCTGGGCGGCAGCAGCAGCGGCCATGAGACATCCCACTCTGAATTTTGAGACGTTTCAAAACTTTGATTAATTCCATCCTGCCTCGGTCTCTGTTTCTTCTCATGTGCCTTACCCCTGTGTGTATGTCTAATTCCGTCCCGCCCCACCAGGCACGAGCAGCAGGTGTGGGCAGCAGCGGCAGCCATGAGGCATCCCACACTGCACCCCTCAGTGCAAGTGGTGACGGGCACTGTGTCTTATCCCTGTGCATATCTCTTCAATGCCATCCCGCCCCACCAGGCACGAGCAGCAGGTGTGGGCCGCAGCAACAGCCATGAGGCCTTCCACTCTGAACCCCTCAGTGCAAGTGGTGACACTCGCTTCCTCCCTTCTCGCCCTCTCCAACCCCACACTCCACCTCCCCATGTCTTGACTGTGCCTTGATAGAACCCATCTTCTGCACCCAGCAAAACCCAGTTGCACCCAACCCAACTAAGCCAGCTACTGTAATCACCCAGAAATCCGCCCCACAAATAATATGAGGCTAATTGGTGATAAGGCTACTCCGATTACATGCCCCGTCCTCTTTTTGATCTTCTTTTTCTACAGGCAACATGTCAATAACTGTTGGTAATTTCATAAACAAGGGGTTTATTTCGTAAGGCTCAGGTCGGGTTGAGAAGAACATAGTTTCCAACATAGGATGCTGAGGGTGTATAATCGTGATTACTCCCAGCTGCACATGCAGCTAGCCAAAGTACACGGTATTCCAGCTACACAAGGAGTGTATGCATCCTGGACATAACGTAGCATCACCATCTCATGTGTTTCTGTATCAAGATTGAGAAAGCTTGCTTTCTTGTCCTTATAATTTGGCATCGTTCTCATTGCAACTGGCTTATTACAACATTGCATCGTTCTTAAACACATGCTAGTACATGCAGGTATTACCGTATTCTCCCAGATAAAACACCCTAGGGTATTATGAAAACCACTGGGAAAAAATGGGGGGGGTCTCCTCAAAGAAAAATCCTGCATAATACCCGGGTCTTTTTATATGGTATATTTTTTATCAAGCAGAAAAGATGTGAAACAAAATCAGGGGGTCTGACTTCACTTCAAGATTGTTGATCAGTGCCGCAAAACCGAGTATACGAGGATAACGTGACTGCCCACTGGAATCTGCCACGTGGCAAATTCCAGTGGGCAATTCTGGCACTTGATGTTGGGCTGAGAAAAGCCCTTAGGATCTTTGCAGGACTAAACTCTGAGTAGGATTTGATGTAATAGCGGAAGCGTTTAACGATAAGTCTGTGAACCACCTTGCGCTAGTACGTGAGGGCAAAGTAGATTGATTAAAGCAAAGAGATACAAGATTATATAAGAGTACAAGGAATACGAAGAGATACGATTTCAACTGTTTTACTGTTGCTGTTGCGGTTCGATACAGTGACGACTCCGGCAACTGCTCTGTAACGAGTCAGTTGTGTGTCCTTGCTGTGGTCAGAATCAAGAGACAGGAATGAATGAACTATAAAAGAGTTGGGTACAAGTATGAAACCCTAAAAGGGGCTGTACCCCATATTGGCTACCCCACTACAACCTACACATATATAACATGCATATACTTTGACACACCCCCATAGGCAAAGTGGGGGAGAGCAAGGGGTCACAAGACCAGTCAAGAGAAGCAAAGCAAGCTCAGGTGGATCACAACGTCACCACACACACTGAGCACAAGCAAAGGGCCACAAGGCCAGTTCACATGCAGGGGTATATATGCAACAACAACAGCACAGTGATCTCTACCGAGCAGAGCAAGCATGCAGGTATATATATAGATCACAGTACAGGCAAAGTCAACAGCAAGTGAGGAAACGTAGGCACAAGGCCTAACAGAGTGCAGAAACGCTGATGATCACCAGACGGAAGCGCCTTGGTAAATATATCAGCAGTGTTGGCCCGAGTGGCCACGTGAGCAAGACGAAGCTGACCACGCTGCTGCAACTCTCGAGCCAGGAAGTAACGCAGAGCGATGTGCTTCGTTCTGTGCTCCAGTCTGTGCTCCTGACACAAGGCAATGGCAGCCTTGTTGTCGACGTTCAGCACTGGAGGAGAACGAGGCCTCTCTCCCAAGTCGGTCAGCAGGTAGGTGAGCCAGCGTAACTCCTGTGCAGCCATGGCTGTGGCGTAGATCTCAGCCTCACAACTGGAGCTGAGAACTGAAGACGAGCGTGTAGAACGCCAAGAAACCGAACCAGAGCCAAGGCTGAAGGTGTAACCCTGTGACGACCGCTGCGTAGCCTGGTCGTCAACCCAAGAAGCGTCTGAGTGCCCAGTGAGGACAACTGGGCTCCGCCCTCCAAGCACGAGCCCCATGCCCGATGTACTGCACAAGTAGCGTAGTACCCTCTTAGCAGCATCCATGTGCACCTTTCGGTGCCGACCAGGAGCCACGTAGCGAGCCAGAAGGCCAAGAGGGTACGCAAGGTCAGGACGAGTGCAGGTCATCAGGTACATGAGGCAGCCCACTAGCTCTGGGTAAGGACCACTCGGCTCTACGGACTCGTCCGAAGGTGGAGCTGAGAGCGAGTGACCTATACCCAGAGGAGTGTGCTGTGCCGAGGACCAGGTGAAACCAAAGCGCTGAAGGACCTGCTGCACCATGTGTGACTGAGTCAGTGTGATGGTGCGGCGTGCTCTGTCCCGGGTGATCCGCAAGCCAAGATAGCTTGTCAGCTCACCCAGGTCTGTGCACGTGTGTCTCTTCTGCAGCTCCGACTTCACCTGGGCGAGAGCCTCAGTGTCAGCAGTGGCAAAGACCAAGTCGTCGACGTACACGAGGATGTAGAACGGTGGCAGCGAAGTGTCGGTGCGCAGAAACAGCGACGGGCCAGCAGTCGACGGAGCAAACCCAAGAGCCGCAAGTGTCGTCCTCAGTGTGTCGTGCCACTCACGTGGCGCCTGGCGGAGACCGTAGACCGGCCGCCTGAGGCTCCACTGGGTACCAGGAGAGAACGACCCAGTGAAGCCAGGTGGGCGGCGCAGCCAGATCTCCTCGTGCAGGCTGCCCTGTAAGAAGGCTGTGCTGAAGTCAAGAGAGTGAAGCTCGTAGTCTCGCTGAGCGGCAACGTGCAGCAGCACCCGAAGAGTGGTCATCTTCGGGGTGGGGGAGAAGGTATGGAAGAAGTCTACTCCCTCTCGCTGACTGAAACCTCGTGCAACGTAACGCGCCTTGAAGGCAGGCGGAGAACCTGGCGGCCGCTTCACCCTGAAAATCCACATGCCACTGACGATGTTCGCCCCAGGTGGGGGAACCTCGTCGACGTAGGTGCCTGTGGACTTCCAGGATGCCATCTCTGCATCCATGGCTGTCTGCCACTGAGAGGAGTACTCACCCGCGATCGCCTCAGCGTAAGAGCGCGGGGTCGGGATGTCTGGAGCATCCGGGTCTCCCTCAGGGGCAAGCAGCATGGACACGAGATGAGGCGCAGTGGCTGCAAGACACTCAAGGTCCTCCTGCCTGTCCTCAAGGACGTCCGTGCCAAGAGAACACTCACCCCCGATGGACGGAGGACAGACAGACTCAGACTCAGCAACAAGACTAGCAGCGTAGTCTAGACGACAGGCAGCAGCAAAGTCCACAAGCTCAGCAACTAAGGCAGACGTAGCAGCAGACTCAAACGACGGGTCAGTGACAACAGTGGCTAGCAGACGCGTGACAGTAGGGTGCTCAGCACGAAACCGGTCAGACTTGGGGTCCGCAACGACAGGCAGAGAAGACGCAGGAGGGGACGGCAGAGGAACACGCTGCGGAGGAGGGGAAGGACGACGGACTACGAGGTGGGTGTCGGGGACAGCCGGCAGACGCGGACGAGGAACACGACGACCGGAACGACCAGAACAGACAGGCGAGACAGGACGCGACGCAGGCTCACGATGCTCAGTAAGACCCCCTAGCTGCTCAGTGTTAGGAGAAGGAGCAGGCAGCGGTGAGCCAGGCTGTAACGGAAGACCAGTAGACGAAGGGAGACTAAGAACCTGGCGAAGCACAGAGTCAGGCGGTGGCTAAGACGACGGAGACGGTGGAGCGAAGAACAGGCGCGGCTGTGCAGTGACACCAGCACCAGCAGCTCCAGTACCCCCAGCACCCGCAGGAGCTCCAGAACCTCCAGCGCCAGCACCCTCAGCAACTCCAGAACCTCCAGCTCCAGCGCCACCAGCGCCAGCACCCTCAGCAGCTCCAGAACCTCCAGCTCCATCGCCACTAGCGCCAGCACCTCCAGCAGCTCCAGAACCTCCAGCTCCAGCGCCACCAGCGCCAGCACCTCCAGCTCCAGCACCCTCAACAGCTCCAGAACCTCCAGCAGAGACAACTCTAGTGGCAGAGTCACCAGCTCCAGCGCCTCCCACAGCAGGGCCCCTAGCTCCAGCAGCGCGACCCTGACGGCCAGTGTACCACTCAAGCAGCTGCTGTGGGGAGAGAGGGAGTCGACGACTAGAGTGCAGCGGCGAGGCACCAGCGGAGCGACTACGGAGACGGCCGCTCCAGGGAGACTGCTCACCAAACGCCTCAGCGCCCCCAGGCTCAGCACCCCCAGACTCCTCACACCCAGGCTCAGTACCTCCAGTCTCCGCACCCCCAGGCTCTGCACCTCCAGGCTCCACACCCCCAGGCTCAGCACCCCCAGACTCAGCACCCCCAGGCTCAGCACCCCCAGGCTCAGCACCCCCAGGCTCCGCACCCCCAGGCTCAGCACCCCCAGCAGCAGCACCCCGAGCAGGACCACCCTCAGCAGGACCTGAGTCACCAGTGACCTCAACCTGAGGAGGAGGGTCTACCTGAGACACACCTGAAGGAGCAGGACCGGGAGCGGGGAGGGGGTCTACCTGGGGAGCACCTGGAGCGAGGAAGAGCAGCGGGGCGGGGAGAGGGGAAGTGCGGTAGGGGAAGAGACGGTAAAAGGGAACCGACTCGTCGAACGTGACGTCCTGAGAGGGGAAGACACGGCGCGAGGTGGGGTGGTAAAACTGCCAACCAGGCGCGTCAGGGACAAAGCCAAGGAAGACACATGGAACAGCGCGGGCGGAGAGCTTGTCCGCGGTGGTATCGCGGACAAAGGCACGAGCACCCCAGACCCGGAAACGCGACGCATCGCCAACCTTCCCCGTCCACAGCAGTGTGGGCGAGGTCTCCGGCAAGGAGACACGGGGCCAGAGGTTGAGCTGATGCGCGGCGTACTGGACCGCAAACGGCTACAGAAAATGGGGGGCAGCCGCATGGATCATGGAGGTACGAGCGACCTCCATGACTAAGCCAATGCGGCGCTCAGCAACCCCATTCTGCTGCGGAGAGGCCGGAAGCGTGAACGACTGGCGGATGCCGTGCTCCGCACAGTAGGCTGCCAAGAGGTCTGAGGAGAACTCACCACCTCTATCAGAGT